AATAGAAGATAAGAACATTATATCACTTCAAACAATCCAGGAAGATGTGATCGTCCTTGGAACTATGCTAAAGTTACAAATGGAATTAACCAGTCTCCTAATGTCTTCATTTTCAAGTAAGCTTTACAGTGTCAAACACAAAGGCTCAATTTCAAATAAGCTTTACAGTGTCAAAGAGCAATCAGCAAAGATCAGTTATCACTAAACATCCTTTTTCAATACCCCGTTTCCTACACCAGCTGAATATCTTCAATTTCCTTGTCCCAATCAATGTGGTTGACATAAAGGGCCACGCCGCAAGGACTTGGCCTCATGCAGCAATAATCTATTATTTCTTCTATGTATGTTACTTTGGCTTCGAGATTCTACAGAAATCTTAGCACTTTCAAGATTCTAAAGAAACCTTAGCATCTTTCAAGAACAATATTGCACTGTCATCTATATTAGAAACAGTTGTCTTATTACTCTGCTGTATTTCCACAACCCTTTAGATACACCTACCATCAATTTTTCCCCAACAGCTCGATGAGACCCAAACATTTATGTTTTTCCCACACCCCATCCCACAAGCCTACATGATCTTTGTGAAATATCAACATTTTCTTAAAAAAAAAAAAAAGACTTGATTTCATTCATAACTAGAAGTTTGATTAGTAAATAGAGAGAGATGAAAGAAATAGGTAGAGAGAGAGTGAAAGGAGTGGGTGGTGTACGTTGTTCACAGTCGAGTGGGACAACACTAAATTGTGAGCAGGCTAGATCTCGCAGGGAAAGCCAACTGAGAAGAAATGAATCAGAGAGACAACATCGAATGTAGTATGATCAACGCCAGAATAAAAAAAATAGAAAGGAGGTTCCTATGGCTGGGGCTTATACAAACAAGCCATCCCTTATTTCTTCACCAATTTCCCAGATGATTGGAGTTATGCAACATGTGGAGAACCTTTTTGAAATTTGGAAGGGTGTATGCCATTTATAGACCATATAGGAGAAGTAGAAATGGAAGTAGATTCGGATTTGCGAGATTTCTAGAAGTAAAAGACAAAAAAAGAGCTAGAAAAACAACTTGATCAAATCCAGATAGGGAGTAGGAAACTTTGGGTGCATACCCTAAGGTATGATGTTGGGAAGAATGAAGCTACAAAGCCAAGAATCAGTCAAGCAAGGGCGCTAAGAACTCAAAACAAAAGCTATGCTGAAGTGGTTATAGGTATACAAAATAAAGAACTGAAAGAGGAGACTAGAACTCAAATAATTAATATAGAACATAATAGGAAACTAAGGAGGAGCAGAAACAGAGCTAGGTTTGAATATAGATCTATGGAAAGCAAGAAGATATGGCTTGAGAAAAGGAGTGAAAATTGGTCTGGGATAGAATATAACATTAAACCAGAGGATTAGGAATGGCTTGATGGGTGTTATGTGGGAACGACTCACTCTGTGGAAATGGTACGTAATCTACAGGAGAAATTCTATATGGAAGGATATTTCTCATGTCGTATCCAAGCTATGGGAGGTAAACTGGTCCTACTAGATTGTGAAGACAAGGAGGAATTGAAGGATCTAGTTGAGATGGCCTCATATTGGTTGGGACAATTGTTTGCAGAGGTGTACCCTTAGACTCCAGATGTGGTGGCTTTTGAGAGATTTGTGTGGATTAGGTGTCAAGGTACACCATTGAATGCTTGGGAACTAGATTTCTTTGCAACCATGGCCAGTTCATGGGAAAAATTTATTCATCTAGATGATAGTATCGGCAAAAGAAAGAGGTTCGATATTGCTTGATTTCTTATCTCCACTCTGATCATGGACACAATTTCAATTGTGCATCAAGTTAAAGTTAATGGAATTCTATATAATATCAAATTCACAGAGGAGGAGTTCACAAATAGCTTCTTCTCCTTGAGACAACATTTTATGCCAACTTTCCAAAGTTATTCAAAGGAATATGAGTCATGGCTCGGTGTCAGTGATGAAGAGAATCATGTATCTGGGAATCTAGGGGATCATGAATAGGTGGATGAAAGATTATCAGATATAGAGCTTGAAGATGAAGATATGATGAGTTGCTCAAGAACGGATAAGAGAAGGCTTCACAAACAAGCTAAGCATGAAAGAGAGAAACTGACAGATTGATGGGGCACGTTGGCAGCAACCCCCAAAGGTTTACAAAAGGCGAGCCAAAGTTGGTTCTAAAGCGCATGCTTTAGTTTGGCACATGGCCAATGATGAGAAGCTTAGTTGGGAGCTTAATTAAGTCTTTTATTAGTAGTTTATTATTATTATTATTATTCTTAAAACTATTTAAATTTTGTCAAGTCCTAGTTGGATTAGAACTTCTAATTAAGAGTTCTATTAGGAGTTTTAATAGTTCTTATATATATACATGTTTGTAAGTTTCTTTATTCATTCAGTTAATAATATTCAGATTTTTCCAGCAAATTTGCTCTTGATTGTGTGAAGCAATCTACCTTAGGAGTGATTCCTAAGGGTGCTTAGGTGTGATGCCTAGGGTTCTTTATTCTTCCTTGTCTTCTAAACTAAACTCCTAACCTTCTTTTTACTATTCATGCACCCTATTCATAGCCAAAACTATCTTCAAATAAGCCTTTAAGTCCTTAGGCCTACCTTAACCTTAACCTCTTTCGCATCACAAATGCAGAGGCTGATAGTAGGCTGTTGGAAGATAAGAATGGTAGCCTAGCTCAAATTCAAAATGAGATTGATGTTGAAAATAGAGTAGGGGTAGAGAGGGTGCCGTAGGGGTATGGGGATTTTGAAATGTCAATGGGTTTTCAAGAGGATGAAGGAGAGAATATGGATTGCAACGAACTGATTAATGGGAATCCAAGGGGGGAGCCTATCACACAACTTGACAGCCCAAGTGTGGTGGAGTCAACAAATGTGGGTTTGGCCCATACAAGAATATTGGAGACAAACCCAAGCCCACCTAACATAGAGGAGAAATCTAGAAACAAGGAGATTACAGGAGAACATTTTGATGGTGAAGAGGGTGACCCATTCTGGAAGGGATTCGAAAGAGAGAAAGATTGCTTAGAATAATGGATGGGTAGGCGAACAAGGGAGATCTCAACAAAGAAGATGAGGAGAGTTAGATCTTGCAAAGCTGTGTATCTAAAATCAAGAGCTGTCGAAGAGGGAATACTAAGGAGGAAAAAACAAGGAAAATAGAAGGGGCAAGTAATGAAGAAAAGGCTATCTCTAGAATTTCTATCAAGCCCGAACAGTATAATTGCTAGTGAGTTAGTAGGTGATAGTGGCATTTAGAACTGTAATAGAATCCTGAAGAAGTAGATGCAAAATTAACTAACAATGGAGATTTGGGATCTTGCAAAACAACTAGGAACAATGGCAGAAAAAGATGACAAGATTATCCAAAGACTGAACGAGATGGAGAGAAGAGACAGATAAGCAAAAGCAAAAATGGCAAATCAAGATGCCGTTGGTGTACATAAGTTAAGCAACGCTCCCAATGATACTATTATCTTTTAATATTAGAGGTCTTGGAGGGATCGGGAAAAAAAGACAGATCAGGGAATTGGTTATGAAAGAAAAAGTTGAGTGTTTAGCTATTTAAGAAACTAAGATGGAGATAGTTGATAGGAGTTTGTGCCAAAGAATTTGGGGGACAGATGATCTTGATTGGATTTCAAAACCATCTAATGGCTTGTCAAGTGGATTGCTATGTGTTTGGAATTTTAAAGTGTTTAAGAAAAAGGAGATCTTAAAAGGGGACAATTTCATAGGTGTGTTTGGATTATGGGGGGAGGAAGAGTCTCCTATGTTTATACTGAACATCTATTCCCCATCCTATTTGGTGGGCAAAAGAGATTTATGGGAAGAGTTGCAGGGTCTGATTAATAGTAGAAAAGGGAACAGGTGTTTGGCGGGGGATTTTAATGCTGTAAGAAGTGTAGAAGAACAAGCAGGATGTAAGGGTGTTTCCAGGGAAATGAGAGAGTTTGAATGCTTTATTCATAACATAGGATTGGTGGATTTGCCTTTGGTGGGTAAAAAGTATATTTGGTACAACTCCAACAGCCAATATATGAGCAAGATTGATAGATTCTTGATGTCTGAAGAATGGATTATGAAGTGGAGCAATGTAAGACAATGGGGTTTAAGAAGATCAGTGTCAGATCATTGTCCTATTCTTCTGAAGAATGGGACAGTTGATTGGGGCCTAAAGCCCTTCAATTCTTCAACGCATGGCTTGAGCAACCTGGATGCAGAGAGATGATTAGAAATGTGTGGATATCCACTGTGATCAAGGGTTGGAATGGCTTTAAGATAAAGGAGAAGTTGAAAAGCACAAAGAAAGCTTTAAAGGAGTGGAGCGGTAAATGTATTATAGAAGTGGATAACAAAATAAATGAAGCTAAAAAGATGATAGCTGCTCTGGATGAAAAAGGGGAGAATGGCTAGTTGTCTACTGACATTGAAAAGAGAAAAAGCTATTTTCTTGACCTTTGGGAAAATTTAAAAATCAAAGAAAGGATGTGGCAACAGAAGTCAAGAAAGATGTGGTTGAAAGAAGGGGATGTAAATACAAAATTCTTTCATAAATGTGTGAAGGGTATATGGAGAAGAAATGCAATTAACTATATTCAAATCAATGGAGTACAGTACACGGGTGTGGATGAAATAAAAGATGAGGTTGCTAAGTATTGTGAAGGCTTGTTTACAAAAGAGAAATGGCAAAGACCAAAGTTAGAGGGCATAAACTTCAACCAGCTATCCCAGACAGATAATGAGCTCCTCACAAACATATTTTTTGAAAAGGAGATTTTAGAAGTAGTGTGGAACTACGACTCTTCAAAATCTCCAAGCCTATACAGATTTAACTTCAAATTCATGAAGGATATATGGGAGGATATAAAATCTGATGTTGTCGGGTTTGTCTAGGATTTCCATAAACATGGGAGACTCGTTAAAGGGATTAATGCTTCTTTCATTGTTTAATTCCAAAGGTAGAAAACCCCCAAAGAATTGAAGAATATATGTAGACCCATCTCGCTGATTGATGTCATGTATAAGGTTATTGCAAAGTTGCTAGCAAACTGCCTTAGAAAAGTGCTAGACAAAGTTATAGGGGAACAACAGATAGCTTTGGAGTTGTAATAGCAAATGAGGTGATTGATGTGGCCAAGAGAAAGAAGAAGAAGTGCTTTCTTTTCAAAGTTGATTTTGAGACAGCATATGACAAGGTAAGCTGGGAATTTATTGATTATATGCAGCTGAGTAGTGCAACTTGGAGAAAATGGATACAAGAGTGTCTTCGATTGAGCTTGATTTCAGTTCTTATCAATGGAAGCCCAACGAAGCAATTTAATGTCAATAAAGGCATACGACAAGGTGACCCATTATCAACTTTTTTATTTTTCATTGTGGTTGAAGGATTGAATGGGCTAATGTCTTCCGCAGTAAAGAAAGAATTGTATAAAGGAGTGACGGTTGGTAATAGTGGAGTTACCGTTACCCATCTACAATTTGCGGATGATATCATCTTATTTGGTGAGGCATCTAAAGACAATATAAGGACTGTTAAATGCATTATGAGGAATTTGAGCTGGTTTTAGGGCTAAAAATTAACTTCAGAAAAAGCCAACTTATGGCTATTGGAGCTGAGGAAGGCTAGAGAGATAAAATGGCTTACAGACTATGCTATAAAAAGGAGGAATTACCATTTAAATGCCTAGGAATTCCTATTGGCAGGAATCACAAAAGGATAACAATGTGGCAACCACCGGTGGAATCCTTTAAAAAGAAGCTTGCCAACTAGAAAAACCAACACCTTTCATTGGGGGTCCTATCACGCTCATTCATTTAGTGTTGTCCAGTTTGCCATGTTTTTTTTTGTCTATCTACCTAATCCCTAAAGGTATAATCTATTCCATTGATAAAATTCATATAAGTTTGTTTTGGGGGGGGGGGAGAAGAGAAAAAAATTAATTGGGTTAGTTGGGAGAAGGTATGTAAGCAAAAAGAGTTTAGGGGGTTGGGAGTGAGGGATTTGAGGAAGTTTAACTTAGCTTTGATGGGAAAGTGGTGGGGATGGTTAACATTAAATGATGAGGGATAGTGGAAGAAAGTAATTAAAGGAAAATATCAAGAGGTAGGGAGCCATTGGCTTGATTGGGTTAGAGAGAGTAGAGGAGTAGGTTCATTATGGTGGAGGGATGTATGTGGGCAAAATGCAGTGGAGGGGGAAAGTGTAAGGTGGCTGATTGAGGGGTTTAGGATAAAGCTCGAGAAGGGGGATAATGTGAGTTTCTAGTGGGACAATTGGTGTGGGAAGGGGTTTGTCTTGCTAATAAGTTTCCTAGATTGTACCTATTATCAATAGGAAAGGAGAAGGCATACTACCAAATGGGCAACGATGATAATGGAGCATGGCATTGGAACCTTACATGGAGAAGAAGTTTGTTCAATTGGGAAGTTGAAGAAGCCTGGAAATTTGGAAATATGTTAGAAGGCATGAAGATTTCTCCTGGTTACCCTAACAGATGGGAGTGGATACATAGCAAGGATGGCCACTACTCAACCAAAAGAGCTTACTCATTCTTAACAAAAGAGCAGTGCGGACCATATGGAGATATGACTTTTAAAAGAATATGGAATCCTATTCTCCCAAGCAAAATTTCTGCATTCAATTGGCAATTATTGTTGGACAGAATACCAACTAAGTTTAACTTGATAAAAAGAGGGATTGTCAAAAACTTCGGAGAAGGAAAATGTACAATGTGCAAGGAAGAGGATAAGGATGTTGCCCATCTGTTCTTGAAATGTAAGGTAGTTAGATGGCTATGGGAGGAATGTGCTAAATAGTGGGGTATCAATGTATTGTTGGAGAATGATTGTTGGAAAACTTTTGAGCATTTTGGGACAGGGATCAAGGACTCACACATCAGACAAGGTTGGGATTGCATTTGGAATACACTAGTTTGGTCCGTGTGGTTGGCAAGAAACCAAAAGATCTTTCATGACTCAGAGATTAATGCAGGGAAGCTGTTTGAAACTATCCAACTGAGATCTTACTTCTAGGTCAAAACAAGAAATGTCAGGTGTGTCTTTAATTTCTCAGATTAGGTTATTAACCCTGTTGCATGTCTTCAAATTAAATATGGTAGAAAGAATAGGTGGTGTTCGAAGGCTCCAAATGATAGGATTATTATGTCTTGATGGTTCTATGTAATCTCTGAACAGGTTTGAGTACCCCTTGTACTCAATTTGTTAATAAAAGTTTACTTCACAGCTCAAAAAAAAAAAAAAAAAAAAA